AGTTTTAGTTCAAATTACTCGAACTAAATTTTGGCAGAGTTTCGCCTTATTTTTCTCGTTTCCCGAGTTTTTTAATAACTCGTTCTACTTCTGATTTCGGTACCTGGAGTCAAGATTTACATTCCTGAACACAAATTCCAACATAAAATTGAACAAAACATATGTTCTTTCTTAATCTAGGCTCACGGATTTTCGATAGAAATCCACCAAAACTTTATTCAATCATCTTAACACTTACACCGTTAAACTCTTATTATGATACTCTACAAAACCCCAGTTTCAATTTTCACTTTAACAGAAGTTTTTCTGAGATGGGTTACTATTCATCTAAATCAAGAAAATATAGAATTCTCACGAAAACTCTGAAATCTTACCTCCAGAAGTTGAGATTTTCCCGATAGAACGCCTCAGGTTATGTTTCTACCGGATTGAACGGGAGAAATCTCAATGAAAATGCTTGATTTTCCTTCCTCCGTCTCTCTCTAGAAACTCTCTCTCTTTTTTTTTTCTTCGTAACTTTCTCACGTCCCCTCTTTTTTTTTTCCTCTGCTATACTTCACGTGAAGTAATATCCTTGTAACCAACGTGAATCTTCATTACGTGAGCCATCAAGCTAGAGATAACTTCATGTAGCCAGCATTAAGTACATAGCCAACATGAGTCACCTTTCAACTTAGTTTACGTAATGACACATGTTGTTAATGCATGTGAGGTTCCGCCTCACGGTAACTATACTTTTCACCCTTTTTTTTTTCTTTTTTTTTAAACGTGTTAAAGATAATCTCTTTTATATATATATATATATATTATTTTAGATAAACTAATTTCTTAAGGAACGTACTTAGAAATAATCATTTATGTAATATATATATATACATATATTATAACTTTGTTCAGCCTGCTTTTTTGGACTGTCGAGTATCCTGGGTCAAACTTCTCATGTTCAACCCAATTCTCTTGGGTATCTCATTAGTCAATTTCTTTTTCTGAAATTATCATCTTAATTGATTCAGAATTTCCTATACCGTGTATCCTTGCGGTACTCATTGTTTTTAGCAGTTTCCTGCTTAAATTGACTCGGGAGAATTCTGTTTCAGAAACTTTTACTATTTTCCTTACTTCTAATATTTCTACTCTTTTTTTAGCTGGTTATTTGGTCACATACTAAATATTTCAGTTTTTCATAACTAAAATATACCCGCTAAAATTTTTAACTTTTAACTAATATCTCACTATTTATAAGTGGTATTTACGAATTTCCTTTGTAAGAATATTTGTACTATAACTTTACATATTTCGGGAAATTTTACTCTGTACATAAAGTTTCTACATAATATTTTTTTGATTACATCAAAATTCTACTACTTACTATTCCGGAAAGAATTTTAGTCAAATACTGGACTGTCCGGATTAGACCTAAATTTTTTCCCGGTCATTACAGTTTGGCCTTACTTGAAGGGCAGAATGTTGAAATTAAAAACTGAAGCTAAATTTAGCCTGAAATTCTTATCTCTCTGGTGGATTCCATTGAGTGGTGAATTCTTTCTGTTTCTGTATTTTAAGGTGGTGATTCTCTTATCCTTAAGTGGTGAAACTTTCTTTAATCATTTTTAAATTTTCCTTTTAAAAGATACATTCCTGTCTTATTTTAATAAGATAACCCAAACACTTCCAACCATCCCTTATACCCGTCCGTACGGTATCAATTTGGTATCAGAGACAGGAAAAAAAAACAGGTTTAGATTGTTCTTTTCTGTGAAAAAGAATGAGAACAGCTGTTTGAGGGAGATTCACTGAAGAAGATGAACAATTGGAAGAAAGAGATCATAATATCGAAATGGAGGAAATGAGAAGAACAATCCAGTAACTACAGCAACGCCTTGAGTAGTTTGAGAGACGTACTCTCCCAGGCATGACGAGCACAATGAAGATGAGGATGAGGAAGATATCGTAAATCCATTTCACAACGACGGCGATTCAAGCGATGACGCCAACGCTCGCCGAAGACGACGAAACTACCATGGAGGCCGCGAAGGTGACGTGAAGGTCGACGTTCCTGAGTTCGATCGTCGTGCACAAGGAGATGTTTTCCTTGATTGGCTTTACACTGTCGAGAGAATTTTTTATTTCAAAGATTATTCGGAGGAAAGAAGAGTAAAGCTAGTGGCAATCAAACTAAATGGATATGCTTCTCTTTGGTGGGAGAACCTGAAACGGGAACGAGTTCGAGAAGGAAGAAGACCGATCCGAACATGGGATAAACTCAAGCACGAAATGAAAAGGCAGGAAAACTATTTGAAGTTTTACAAGTTCAAGCAGGCTGATCTCAGTGTGCAAAACTACACACGGGAATTTGAGTTTCTAATGCTCAAATGTGATGTGGTGGAACCCGAAGAGCAGACCATTGCACGATTCTTGGGAGGACTGAAGAGGGAAATAACAGATGTTATTCGACTGCAACCTTATTGGACGTTCAATGATGTTAGGAAACTGGTCATGAACGTGGAGCAACAACCTAAAGGTGTATCCGAGCTAGGCAATTCTTATCCAACCAGGGGAGTGCAAGTTCATCCGGCGTGAAGACATTTGCGAGAGGTACGTCTTCAAATGTGTCTAAACCGGATTCAAAAGGGGAATTTACCGCCAAGCATCTGAGTGTCCCAATCGAAGGGTTGTAACCATCGTTGAGGAAGAAGACAAGAATGAAGATCCGCAAAAAGAAGAGAATTTGGAAGAAGTGGTTGAGCATGCAGATGAGGGTGAAGTTTTGGTGTGCCATAGGTGTTCGCACTCTGTCTAAGAGAATAGTGAGTCGTGGCTGCGTGAAAATATTTTTCACATGAGATGTACTTCTCAAGGCCGAGTTTGCAATGTAATTATTGACGGCGAGAGTTGCCCCATCCTCGTAATCGAGGAGATGGCTAAAAACCTGAAACTGAATACAGTACCTCATCCTCAACCTTACAAAATCCTATGGTTTCAAAACGGCAGCGGGTTCAAGGTAACGAAGTGTTGCTTAGTTTCATTTTCCATCGGGAAAACCTACAAGGATGAGATTTGGTGTGATGTGGTGCCGATGGACGCGTGTCATTCGCTGCTTGGTAGACCTTGGCAATTCGACCGATGGGTGATGCATGATGGCTTCAACAACACTCACTCATTTGTTAAAAATGGTCTCCGAATCACTTTGGCGCCAGTAAAACCGAACGGAATTGACGTAAAAAAAGAGTCTAACTTGTTCCTTATAGGCTCTCAAACTTTAGAGTCTATTTCCAAAGGTAACACTCCTGCGATCTTATTAGTTGTGAAAACAAACGATTTGGTTTACTCAGAAATTCCTGAACTGATCCGTCCTTTGTTGGAGGAATTTTCTAATATTGTGCCCGAGGAGATTCCTGATGGCATGCCACCAATGAAGAATATACAACATCGCATGAATCTAGTGCTAGGGGCATCACTGCCAAACAACGCAACCTATCGTTTGAATCCAATCCAATAAGCAGAATTGCAACGTCAAGTGGAGGAGTTGATGGTGAAGGGCATTGTTGGGTATTTTTATTAGTTGGCAATTTATTGGCAATCTTGTAAAAATTCAAAAAATAGGTTCAAGAAGATTTCAGATTGCGGAAGAAGAATTCGAATCAGATTTGAAGTTAAAGTTGCAGATTTTGTTGAGTTGAGATTTGAAGAGATAATGATAAAAGCTTGGTCAAAGGAAGATAAGACATTGGTTGAGATTTGGAGAGATAAAGATAAGGCATTGGTTATTTGAATTTAAATGGGATTCCAGAATGAGATAAGGATAAAAAAAGATAAGGATAAAAAAGATTATGTGGAGATTTTATTGTGATGATTATCCATTTTTTTGGCTTTTGGTTGGATTCAAATTTAAAGTGAATTCGAATTGAAGATTGATTTGGCAAAAGAAAATTCTATATACATAAATATATATATATTGGGATTTGATTTTTTACGTGAGATGAACTTGGAGCAAATGTGATATCTAAGTCATTGTGAAGATATTGTGCACGTGGAGATATATAATGAAGATGTGCATGGAGATTTGAAGTTTGCATCATCTTTGAAGAATAAAGTTAGTTATGCAAATGTGGGGTTTTAATAGAATATTTTCAGAAAAAGTCTGTGAGTTTTGGTGAGCCTAGTACGCTATTGAGATCGTCCTTCGGAAGAGGAATTTGTTGTTTTCGGGAGGAAGCTCTGTCGGTCGAAGGGAGTTCGCCATGCAGTTTAGAGGACGTGTGGTGCATGCTAAACAAATCAATGTGGAGATTCGTCACAGCGGCATCGTTGTCTAGGAGGGAGTCCTTGAGTGAATAAGTCCGTTCGGTGTCTGTAATTTCTGGAACATAGTGAACTGTTTATTGTCTGGGCTTGGCCCCGTAGAGTAGGTGTGCGTACCGAACTGAGATACCATATTGCGTGTCTATTTTGATTTTTGCACTTTATTCTACTCAAGCAACGTAATTAATCCGGATTTTAATTAATTAAGTCATCTTCCAGACAATGTTCCAACATCATCTGGAACATCAGACGTAACATCAGATCTAACAAGTGGTATCAGAGCGGTTCACTGACCATAAGTTCGGTGAGATCTTGGAGAATTGATCTGTTATGTTTGGAATGGATTTTTTGAAGGAAGGAGGTTCAGTTGTACATCCCCATCTGCTTGATGGTTTGAATTATTCATGTTAGAAGGCTCGGATGAAGGCTTTCATCAAGGCTCAAGATGAAAGAGCATGGCGTACAATCCTAATTGGATGGAAGCATCCAAAAATAAAGGATGCAGAAGGAAAGCAGATTCTCAAGCCTGAAGAGTCATGGAGCACTGATGAAGACAGGTTGGCCAACTACAACTCACGTGCGGTCAATGCAATATTCAATGGAGTGGATGTTCACCAGTTCAAAATGATATCCACATGTGAATCGGCCAAAGAAGCGTGGGAGATTCTGGAGGTGTCTCATGAAGGAACAACCGCGGTCAGACAATAAAAATTGAATATGCTCACAACCAGGTTTGAAACTCTTTGACTGCATGAAACTAAAACTATTTCTGAATTTAATTCACGGTTGTGTGATATAGCTAATGAATCCTTTGCTCTTGGTGAAAAAATTCCCGAAGCAAAACTTGTCAACAAGACGTTGAGATCTTTATCACAGAGATTCGCCTACAAAGTCACTGTTATTGAAGAGGCGAAAAACACTGAGACTATGAGACTTGATGAATTGATGGGATCACTGGGGACATTTGAAATGAATCTAAGTCAAAATAAGAAGGAGAAAGAGATTTCTCGGGGGATTATTTTTCAAGCCGAAGTGGAAGATAATGTTGAAGAAGAAGATGAAGACTTAGCGGAATCTCTTGCTCAATTGACTAAAATTTTCAATAGGGTGATGAAGAAGTTCAATGAGAAGAATCAAACTCCAACTTTCAACAACTCCAACAATTTTCAGAAAAATAAGAGAGCTAAAAATTCCTCTAATGATAAGAAGAAGAATATGAGAATTCAATGCTAGGAGTGCAACGGTTACAGTCACATTCAGTCTGAGTGTGCTAACACTCTCAAAAAGAGGAAGAAGTCTCTCAACATCACATGGAGTGATGAAGATTCTGAAGGCAACCAGGAAGATAGTTCAACGAGAAGAACCAAACTTCAACTTTCAACAACTCCAACAATTTTCAAAAAAATAAGGGACCTACAAATTCCTCTAATGATAAGAAGAAGAATAGGAGAATTCAATGCTGGGAATGCGACGGTTATGGTCACATTCAGTTTGAGTGTGCTAACACTCTCAAAAGAGGAAGAAGTCTCTCAACGTCACATGGAGTGATGATGATTCTGAAGGCAACCAGGAAGATGATGATCATGTGAACAACTATGTTGCATTTAATGTCTACCAAGATGTTCCAAACTGCAGTGTTACAGATCATGTCACAGCTCATGTTGGAACATCATCTGCAACATCATCTACAACACACTCTGGAAAACCAGAAAAAAATGAAAATTTTTTAGATTCTGACGGTTCGAACGATGGTGAAGAACTAACTGAGCAGACAATCTAGGAGGCATATGAAACCATGTTCAAAAAATGGGTTTTGGTGGTTAAAATGAATAAGTCTTTGCGGGAGCGAGTCAATGAGCTTATTAAAGACAAGGATGTACTTAAGAGGGCTGCTATAAACTATGAATTCCGGGCTGTTGAAAAGGAGAAAAAGCTGCAGGAGACAAGAGGTGAATTGGAGCATACTCAAAAGTCATTGAAGATGATGAATTTGGGCACTTCAAAATTGGATCACATTCTCTCAATAGGAAAAGCGAGTCGTGATCGACATGGCCTTGGCTATAATGGTGAGAGCTCAACATCCAAAACAGTGTTTGTGAAGAAGACGCCTGCCCCTAAGCCTCCGATTTCCTCTAGTAGAAAGGTTACTATCTCATCCCCTCGACATAGAAGGTTTGTTCCTACATGCCATTACTGCGGTTTACCTGGCCATATAAGACCGAGATGCTACAAGTATTTAAATGCTTTGAAGAAAGGTATGTTTATTAATCCACCAAATTCCGCAAACTCAAAGAAGACACCTAATGTGAAGATTGATGTGAAAAATAATTTTTGTAGACGTGTGTGGGTAAAGAAATCTGATTTGAGATGTCATAAGGCTTATACTTCTTTAGAAGCATGTACTGATTCAGGGGGAGTAAGACACAGGAAAAATTTAGGGGGAGTAAGCTACAGAGATCAATGCCCTCAAAGATATCTAGTGCAAAGTGTTGCACCGAGTGTTCCAACTAATTTTACAACATGATCTACGACATCAGCTGCTGAAGACGGTTCTAGGGTGTGACTTTTTTTATTATTTTTATTTTTTTCATTGTGTCTTTGGCTTATTTTTGTCAAAAAGGGGGAGAACAATGTAATCCTTTACGTTTTTTTTTTTAAAATTTTTAGGATCATTTGTTAGTTTTGCCAAAAAATGCCAAAGGGGGAGATTGTTAGGTATTTTTATTAGTTGGCAATTTATTGGCAATCTTGTAAAAATTCAAAAAATAGGTTCAAGAAGATTTCAGATTGCGGAAGAAGAATTCGAATCAGATTTGAAGTTAAAGTTGCAGATTTTGTTGAGTTGAGATTTGAAAAGATAAGGATAAAGGCTTGGTCAAAGGAAGATAAGACATTGGTTGAGATTTGGAGAGATAAAGATAAGGCATTGGTTATTTGAATTTAAATGGGATTCTAGAATGAGATAAGGATCAAAAGAGATAAGGATAAAAAAGATTATGTGGAGATTTTATTGTGATGATTATCCAGTTGTTTTGGCTTTTGGTTGGATTCGAATTTGAAGTGAATTCGAATTGAAGATTGATTTGGCAAAAGAAAATTCTATATATATATAGTTTTCTTAACTCTGCTAACTCCGGTGGTGCCATGCGGTAGGGACTCATAGCCGGTGGTTTGGCTCCGGGCTCTAACTAAGTCATTGTGAAGATATTGTGCACGTGGAGATATATAATGAAGATGTGCATGGAGATTTGAAGTTTGCATCATATTCGAAGAATAAAGTTACTTATGCAAACGTGGGGTTTTAATAGAATATTTTCAGAAAAAGTCTGTGAGTTTTGGTGAGCCTAGTGCGCTATTGAGATCGTCCTTCGGGAAAGGAATTTATTGTTTTCGGGAGGAAGCTCTGTCGGTTGAAGGGAGTTCACCGTGCAGTTTAGAAGACGTGTAGTGCACACTAAACAAATCACTGTGGAAATTCGTCACAGCGGCGTCGTTGTCTAGGAGGGAGTCCTTGAGTGAATAAGTCCGTTCGGTGTCTGTAATTTCTAGAACATAGTGAACTGTTTATTGTCTGGGCGTGGCCCCGCAGAGTAGGTGTACGCACCGAACTGCGATACCATATTGCATGTCTATTTTGATTTCTGCACTTTATTCTACTCAAGCAACGTAATTAATCCGGATTTTAATTAATTAAGTCATCTTCCAGACAATGTTCCAACATCATCTAGAACATCAGACGTAACATCAGATCTAACAGGCATAATCTGAGAAAGCAAGAGTCCGTGTGTTGTACTAGCTCTTTTAGTTTCAAAAAAGGATGGTTCATGGCGTATGTACGTAGATAGCCGTGCAATCAATAAAGTTACGATCAAGTATCGGTTTCCAATTCCTAGACTTGACGACCTTCCAGATCAACTACATAGGGCTGTTGCCTTCTCAAAAATTGATCTTCGTAGTGGCTATCACCAAATCTGAACGTGACCAGGGGACGAGTGGAAGACGGCTTTCAAGACCGGCAAAGGGTTGTATGAGTGGCTGATCATGCCTTTTGGTCTTTTGAATGCTCCTAGCACATTCATGAGATTGATGACTCATGTTTTTAAACCCTTTATCGGTGAATTTTTTGTAGTTTATTTTGATGACATCTTGGTGTATAGCAGGTCTAGTGAAGCACATTTGGAGCACGTACGCCTGGTG